AACCTTTAAAGCCTCGTTAGGCTTTCAGTGGAGGTCGAACAAACGCCATAAAGTTAAAAGTGACTGGAAGAAAGCTACAGTACATAGATATTGTGTCCCTATACCCAACGGTTCAACATTATGACCGATATCCAGTCGGCGATCCTACTAAAATCCATGCACCTAAAGTATATGACTATAAATGGTTTGGCCTAGTACATTGCCAAATAGTGCCTCCTGCAGATTTATATCACCACATTCTGCCTGACAAAACTGATAAACCATTGTTTTCGCTATGTCATCAATGTGTGTTGAATAGACCTGAATAATGCAAGCATAATGAATATGAAAGAATGTTGACTGAAACGTGGACCACTTTGGAAATTAATAAGGCCTTAGAGAAGTAAACGGACCCTCCTCATGTCAGCCCATATCCGAAAGTTCACGGTTTAAAAAAAGAAATCGGAAATCTTATCGGACCGATCCTGAAGTATCGCATTATTATTTTAATCAATTTACAGCACCACTTCAAAGTGATTTTATTGAAGGAATGGTACGTGATGTGACAAGTAAATATGATCATATTTTGGGTATATTCTACGATCCTAAAGAAAAAAAGTTTTTCATTTGATATTCAGAGATTTACTTTGAGGGGTCTACTATTGAAATAAAAGGAGTGATTTACCCTGGTACCCTTGGACTTTACGAGTTGTTATTGTTAAAGAAACTTGTTACATATACTGAGCAAGACATAAGCTACTATGTTGATATTATAGAACGGACTAATGCTTACCGTAGGAATAATAATAGGGCTTTACCTATTCGTACGATTCCAAACGATATAAAAGAGAAGTGGCTCTACATAGTAAAACCTAACTTAATTGAACCCATACGTCCTAGATCTGGTTCAATACCATCAGGTATGTTTACGCGGGGAATGTCTTCCAAACGTGGTGGAAAACTAACGTTGAAATCTTCCAAAAGTGGTTGAAAAATGACGTTGATGTTCTACAATAAAAATCCTATTGGAGTACAAATATTTTGATGATTTTAATGAGTTGATTGATAGACTACGATGGCTAGTAGCTTCTTAAGCAGTGGATAATAACGGACACAACAATGAAATTATTTCAATAATTGAACTTTGAAAATAAGGCTATTATCGAGCACAAGTTAATTAAATCTAGCCCAAGTACTTTCGCTTAAAATAGCATCTTCAGGGCATTTCGTCAAAATAAGAAACTATCCGGCACGCTAAGATTGTGGAAATATTAAAAATAACATAAATTATACAAAACACTACACTAAAACGAGACAAACAGTTTAAAATTACTTCTACGCTACATTCTCTGTCAGTATCTGGATGGATAATGATTATCCATCCAGATACTGACAGAGAATGTAGCGTAGAAGTAATTTTAAACTGTTTATCCTCGTTTTAGTGTAGTGTTTGTATAATTTATGTTATTTTTAATATTTCCACAAATCTACGCGTGCCGGATAGTTTCTTATTTTGACGAAATGACCCCTGAAGATGCTATTTTAAGCGAAAGTACTTGGGCTAGATTTAATTAACTTGTGCTCGATAATAGCCTTATTTTCAAAGTTCATTTATTCGAGCATTCCACCTCATTTCATTATTTCAATAATTGACGAATTGCGCTAAAGTGGGGTTATCGCATAAAGTACATAAATATTGCAACTTCTGTTAAATATCATTCAGTGCCAAAACGCCTCTTAACAGGTTCAACCAACACTACCTAACATCTCAAACCTGTGATGTCTCAGAGCCACTACAATCTCAATTTTAGATTTGCCAGCCTGCCGATTATTGTAGTGTGTGTGTGTAATTACCATTCGTAATTCTTCCTACTTTGAACAAAGTTTTAAACGTTTGGTTTAAATTTTTAAAACTTTTGTTCCAAACGCTTAAAACTTTGTTTAAGGTAACAAAGTTTATTATCAAATATTTATCTATTTAACTAACAAGAGTAGTAATAATACAAAATTAGCAATGAAATAAGTGAATTTAAACTACAAAATTTTCTCTAGTATAATACTTTATAATATATTTTTTTAAAGCGGTAATCCAAATACCCTTTAATACTAATAGAATTAGTATTAAAGAGGTACTTATAACTTACTTTGTTACACAGTTGATTCAGTCAAAAATTCAGAAAGATGTAGTAACAGCTATTCAGCAGAACATCGAAACACAGTGTAAATAAAAATACAGCATTGGCTTTCGTGAACCTCCATATGATGTTTACTTTACTATTAACCTCCGACCAATAAATAACCACAATGCATAGTGTCGACGTTATAGTAAAAAAAGAATTTGTTGCTTCACAATATAAAACAATAATACTGGTTATTGTTGCCTGTTATTTTAGACACGACACAATTCTGCTATCAAATTCAAAATCAATTCAAAATAAACACAAAAACAGAAAGCTATTCAACATTTGAGGAAAAGCCCCGCCGTAAAGATAAAGGCCCTAACACGCAAACTGTTTAAGAGCGATACAGAGGATATGGCCCTACACACGCAAACGCACTAAGAGCAATATATAATGCGAGCCTGATTATATCATATATACATGGCGTTGGTAGTTGCGCCGCCTAATATCAACTACCATGTGGCGCAACTATCAACGCTATGTTTTCTGTTACAATCAGGCTCCCTCGATATGCGGCATGTCGGGCTAAGACAAGAAGGCCAAAACAGTTAAGTACATATAAAATATAAAATAAAATAATAATGATATAAGCATGGGTATAAGGCTCTTGTATCTAAGCGGAAGAGTAAGACATGGACGAGCATGGTACGAGCTTATGAATTTATATAACAAGGATCTCAAAAGTCAAGGAACTATATAGATATGCGTTCGTGTATAAATGCATGTACAATGTCATATAATATCACGTATATATGTAGATATATTCGCTAGTCTATAAGTCCACAACTTTTGAGTGTACAAGTGCGTTCTAATTCACGATTCATTTTTCAGATTCTTTTTAGGTTATGTAGTAAAAACATGGTGAAAACGGGTTTTTTCGGTTTGTCAGAAAGTTGTGAGATAAAACTAATGCTTTGAACAACTGATTTTGATTATGAAGGGAAAGATACATGTGAAAATGTAAATTACTTAATTTACTAATTATTAATTTAGACGTGTGTTGTTAAAAATTTTTAGTTTTAGTTTTTATTTTATAAAAACTGATATTATTGTATCTTATGGCAGTATAAATAAATTTGTTGTTTTCTATGTAATAATTATTTTTTTGTTTTGTTCCTAGGTCTATACAATTTATTGTTAAGGGGTGGGGGTGCCTCAGAAAAATGCCAAAAAGCTGTTTTTTCGATGATAATAATACCTATGCCATTCGAAAGAACGAAAAAAAAAACATAAAAAAACATTGTTTTAAAGTTGGCCAAAAATTTCCGACATAACATAAAATATTACTGAAAATTTCAATAGGGCTCAATTTTCAAGCTAAAAATCTGAAAAAAATCAGGTAGTATTATATTAGTAAACTACGCTTTCATGAACTTTTTCAGATTTTTTGCAGCAATACAGCGTCTAAAAATTTTTTTTTAAATACGTTTTTTCCCATATCGAACCCCCAGAGGCATCTAAGGACTTGAAAATTTAACTGAGTGAGTTTTTTAATTATGTCCTTTCGAATTGCCAGGCCCAAAACTAAATCGAGCATGGTGCAATTCTGACCATCTTATCCCGCTATAGCCTTTGTACATTTTAAATAGGGGAGCATAATCGCCCTGCGCATTCACGACAATGAGAGTGGTGATGTTTTCTTTGTCACTGTCCGATGAGGTGGCATATACATGTTTACTGCACCTCCCAACTACCTGAAGGGTTAAGATAAAATGATGTCTCATCCATGTTCCAAATTCGTTTGGGATCTTCCAATACTGCAACATCATCTCTAAGATCAAATAAAAAATTTGGGAACCATTTTTAATTTTTTCTGGTGTGATAGCTGCACGAGCTTTGCTGATGTACTCGGATTGTTTGACTGAAAGGGTGTCGCGTCATGAAACTATCAAACCATTTGCGACCGGGCCGATCGTTGGTGAAAGGATTCTTTCTTTTATTCTGATTATTCTCACACATTTGTTTTCAATGGGTTTCTAATTATAGATAACCAAATAATGAAATTTTTCAACTTTTAATTAGTTTTATTAAATAGTTTAATAATAAAAGCAAAATCGAGTTGAAATTTCATGTATTTAGTTAAAAATTATAGAAAACGTGCAATTTCAAATTGTTTTAAAATATTTTGTTGATATTGCGATTAATATGATCTTTATCCGTAAAAAATGTAAACATTTCTATTGGTTCTTCATTTCAGTATGTCGAAATATCAGTAAAGACGGTTCAATTATTTCAAATATTAATTTATTACTAAAATTCAGAAAAATGTGCTAATTCTGGCCACAGTGGCCGCAAATAAAAACATACCTACCCTGTTGAGGCCACAGTAATGGCCTAAGCTGGAGCTTAATACGATTTCCAAGTACCGGTTCCGGCTACAGTAAATATTAAATAAAAGGTTGATTTTATTTGAAGTTATTGTATGAAATCTGATATAATGAAACCTTTTAAAGACATTACAACTGATTATATGAATATATCTGATAAATACAGAGAATGAACTACAAGTAAACTTACCTTTGTTCCTTAACAAATTTCTTAAGAAATCCATATAAGCTACATACACAACCTTTCATAATACGCCATATTTAAACCATCAGCGTCACCTACTGTCAATTTTTATAATTAAAAGCAAAAGTATTTGAAGTTCTCGTTTCGAGATGTCGTTTTACATTTGAGTAAAAGTGCGACTTAATAAATACAAAATAATAGACGGATGGCCGCAACCGGTACCTCTACCCTATTAGCTGTTGCCCAATCCCTTTTTGTTTTAGTTGACACATTATCTATAAGTAAAAATTATTAGACTGGCGTTTATAGTGTTTAAAATTATATTATTACCTCTAATTATGATATTTGGTAAGACACTGCAGGTGGAAGTGCTGGCAATCTCCTCAATACTGGATGGTGATATTGCTGATACACTATCTTCTTCGCAGTTGCTTATATCACCTGTAAGCAAAATAAGGATCAATGCATTTATATTATTAAAATCAATTTGTAATTGCAGAAACAATGTGAACATAATTGTGGCATGTATAGTGTTTAATTGATTAGATGTTATTTAATCTTGACTATTTTATTTTCTCAAATAATATTAAATCTTACCTTGATAAATAAAATCAGGTATGTTATTGCTATCATATATATTTTTAATTGGGATTAGTTGAGGCCCAATAATGGCAAGAATGCATTCAGCTGCGGTTTTGTAAGTGTAAGTTTGAACCTGTAAAAATTGCAATTTATTATTATTCATTTTTTCAACAGTCAACAAATAATTTTATATTACCTACCTTATCATCAGCTTTATGTTTTTTTAAGCTTCTTTTTCAACCCTCATATAATAGTTTTAACTGCATTCCACTTCGAATGCCAGTTTTACATGTGCATTATATTCACTAGCAATTTTCTCCCATGTTTCATGCTTTTGTTTGGACCAAACACTGTCGTTTTTTTTACAATAATATGCATGTACTTTTCTATTATTGAAATTAAATTCTCTTTTTCATCCTCCAACTAATTTTTGCTCCTTTTCCGTTTGTTGTCCATGTTTAATAATAAAATAAAAAATTTTATTCATGTATTGTGATGAAGATCAACCAATAACATAGGGTTATGTATATGTATGTGTATGTACACGAGTACAGTTAGTGGAAAAATTATTGCAGTAGAATTTATTCGACGAATAACTAACTGTCGCACACAAATAGGTATTGAAACGCAGTAAAATATAATAAATAAATTTTATTCGACCAATAACTATTCAGCGATTTATTTGTTGTTGGTAAAACCGACCCCAAGAGTTACAGAAATTTTATACGTGGCCGACTTCTAAATCCTCTATTAACTGTCGAATCTTGTTTAGGAAAAGATAAGATATTTACATTGTGTAGGGGTTGAAAAAGAATGGAAATTCTACCGTATTATTCAAGCTAGTAGTCGACAACCCTGGCAGACAACTAAAAAATATTAATTTTTTTGTCTAGTAAGCGGCCCTTCATTTTAATTTTGCAGTAATTAATCTTCATAAAATTTTTCAACCAATTACACCTATTCGACATTACACTATCTGGTACAAACAAACAAAAATGATACATAATAATGATAAATCCTACATTTAAAAATTACTGTCACTTAGTTTTCATTTCTTATCTCAGCGATAAATTTGTCGTTACTAAAACACGGGCGAGGTTGAGCATAGACGGGAAACATTTGCGGGAAAGTATAACTTTTGTAGGGAAAATAATAAGATCTATATAGGAGTAGAAATAATACAACTCTTTATTTTAGAAATAAAGTTATTTCAGTTTTTTGGCCTGCTACTAGTTATGGCCGGCGTACCGGTGAAATCACCGGTTGCTACTATGTTGTACACTCCAGCTTAGTTATTAGTTGGCAACATTGGTCTATTGGTTAGACATAACAGTAGACAGAAGAAAGACAAAAGTTAGGAAGATGTATTTAACCCTTTCATTTCTCAGAGGTACTTAGAAGTACCAGTACCCGGAACCATCCTTATATCCCAGATGTAGATATTATAGAGATAATACTTTTTTACTGAATAGAATATGCTATAAACATTATTTAATAAATTTTAAACAATTTCATTTTCAAAATTGATGTATTGTGATGTATTGAAGCAAAACAGAGGCTACTGGTAATGCCTCTGCGAAAATCCAACAAATTTTTTTATCCAACTAATACTTTTTTAGCTGTAACGAAACTATTTACAATGTTTATTTCTAGGCATGCCCAAAAAAGTCGATGCCACCATTTATTAGATCTTCTGCCCAAACCGTAACATTGTCTTAGTTAGTCGTGATGGTCTACACCACCCATAGATTCGTTAATAATCTTTTATTATTTGTGGAGCTGGGATATTGATATTTTTGTCATCACGTTGTTTTCGTTTCAGTGTTGTTGATTTACTCCCGTGAAAGTTGGAAGCAGTAGTGACTATGCGATTATCCTTCCACTTAAAAAAGAAAATCCTGTATTGGAAATACGGTAGTTCGAAGTCACCTCTAGCAAGTTTTTCTATCGTCTAACAGGTTTTTTAGGAAGATCCTTTCTATTAGCTCGGATCGTACCACAGGCTAAAGTATTTTCAGCTTTCATTTTCTCCAGTAGTTTTATAGTGGTGTAAAAGTTATCAAAAAAATATAATTTTATTTTTTCCCCAGTCTGCTTCTGTCGAAGATATAACAACTCGTTCACCTAAATTATATTTAGATTTCTTTCGTTTTTGCTTTGATATACTTGAACTTTTTTACAAAGCCATTCACATCAGAATAACCCCAGAGCTTATACCCTCTTTTTATCGGATTATATTGCTTAATAGATGATCGGCCTTTAAATTTTACAATTGACTGGTCGACACACATTTTCTGTCTACCACAATAATTACCAAATTGAGAATTTAGACAATCTATCAAAGGTTTAATTTTATATAACCGATCGGTATTATTTTTTGGTATTAGCGAGTTATCGTTTACGTGCAAAAATCTTAAAATGGTCTGAAACCTATTACTTGGCATAGTTTCTGCAACAAATGGAACAGATAGATCTTCTTGACTTGACCAATAATTTTGGACTCCATGTATATGATAGTCCATTAAAAAGTTTATCCCGATAAATCCTAAGAGTTTTTCCTTGGACATATTCAGTTGTTTTCCCTTTTGTGTGGCATAAAGATTACTCTGATAAGTTATATTTTCTGTGCCTTTATGTAAAAGCTTAACAAAAATATCTAAAGCGGTCTTCTTCTTCTTTGTGTGCCGTGCTTGTATTCAACCGTTGGCTATCGTCATATTGACAAGCTGATGAAATGATTCTCTATCGGCAGCTAGACGAAACAGTTCCTCGACCGTTCGACCTGTCCATTGTCTAATCTTACGCAGCCAGGACAGTTGTTTTCCTTCGATTTTGTCCTGAATGATTAACCGGAGTAAGCAATATGTAGTAAAACGGTCTGACATTCTCTAAAATGAGCTGCTTCCCAAATACAGACAGCTTCTGTATATTGAGGAATTTCTGTGGTTTTTTTCAATGTTTTTTCCAATTTTGTTCAATATTTTTTCCATATTCTTTCTGGACATTCAGGTTCCATGTAGTTATCAGGCTGTTGATCTTGATTTTCATTAGGTTCCTGAATTTTTCGTTCGTTAGATTGGTCATTAGGAACTAATTTGGGGTCTTCATTATTTGCCTCTTCTCAGTTTTATTTGTAAATCTAGCCCAGCAGTAGATATATCTAGCTTATCATCGACATCTGATTCAACATCAGTATCTTCTGCATTATCTAATGAAGGCAAAAAATCATCATTTTCTATAAGCTCTAACAAATCAGCAACAGTCAAACCCTTTTTTTTTCGCCACTGTGGACAATGTCTGAAATGAAAAAAATATATTTATGCCCAAGAGTACCCTCAAGTACCAATGAAACACCATGTCATTTTTAGTGACTAACCATTCGAAACCATTAATTAGTTAAACAAAAAACTTACTTACCCTGCCATTTTTTATAAACAAAACAATGTATACGTTATTTCAACAATAAAAAATTCACTTTGAAGTAAGCACTTACAGACAGCCCTGACTACCATAACATTGATATAAACAAATTAAGAATTCGCACTGCACATCGTATCGACCATGGACGTATAAACATAGATGGACACAGCAATAAGATACGTTTAACACACAATGTTTTGAAGCTTCGATAGAATGTGATGCTTCCGCAATGCATAAGCGTGCTTGAATTTTTACTCGCGGGTAATTATTCAGATTTTAAAAATTGGAAGTAGTAATAATGTATAAAAACACGTTCAAAGAATTAAAAAGAAACGATAGTTATTAACCATAACAAATCACGTCTTGATAAAAAAATTAAAATACAATTTTATTTATAAAAAACAAAATCTTTGTTTTTCTCCTAAATTTGCTACCCAAACAGTTCGATCATCAATATTATTTGGAAACCTACATAGAAAAATAAATGAGTTTTTATTCATTTCACTAATTTATTTCTATCCATGAGAAATATTAAATTAAAAAGGTACTAAACAGATCTTTTTAATCAGATGATGGCTACTTACAATTAAAAATGTCTACTAATTTCATGAACTCATATCTTATCAATACATTAATGAACATGAATAAACCCAATGGTACTCCTATTAAAATTGTAAACAAACACGCTTCCTCATTTCCTCATCTTAAATAATGTAAATTGTATGTTCCCCCACAAATCGAAATCGAGAGATCGGGATGTAAATATTTCGTTTTACTTATTTCACTTTTCACAAATATCACTCAAAATACAGCCAAAATATCGAAAAACAACTTTTCCTCATCTACTGTAAAAAGTAAACAAACATGGAACAGCATTTGAAGTTTGTCGTAGATCCATAAGACAGATAAATGTAAACAACCGTTGCTATTTATAAATAGTTTTCAGTGCTTCTACATATAAAATAATTGATTGATATCTATTATACGCTATAATTAAATGATAATGCACACTATGTGCACACTTGATATTTTGATTACAATTAAATAAATTAATCTAACCAATACATTATTATTTTGGTTTGATAGCACCTGTAGAGTATAAAAAACGGAGTAATATTTTCAGCGACTCGCGAATAACAAATGTTAAAACAAAAATTGACAACAGTTGAAGGCGCTGAGAATGTGACCTATTCAAATAATTTTGACTACACAATTTTATGTAAACAACTGAGTCCATCTGTGTTTATACGTCCATGGTATCGACAGTAACTACAACCAATGAAATCGCGTTGTTCATGGCTAAACTTAGATGTATCGCTGGGAAATAATCGCTTAAGCCGGGTGCACACATGCCAGTAAATTGGAAAGTAGCTGGCATGCTAGTAAATTGGGAAAGTAGCTGGCATGCTAGTTGATGGCATAGGCTAGTAACTGGCAAGCAAAAAATACATTTCCTAGTAATTGACAGGCTCGCTTGCCTGTACCTACTGGCAAGGCGAAAAAGCAGGGTAGATTTTTGCACGTGCCAGTGCTAGTAAACAATCGAGTGGTTTTCATCTGAATCTAAAGTACTTGTTTTGTAATTAAAAGTTTTTGAATTTCCAAGAAAAAAAAAGGAGGATCCATCGAAGGTATTCGGAATGAATTTAACCAGCAAATATTGCTGATGACCACATATATTGTTAGAAATTTAATAGGTTCGTAGAACGATCAGCAACCGTTGACAACCAGTTAGCGTTCGTAGAAGCACTTCTGACGGTTGACAATTTTAAGTTTGTTGTTCGCAGTAACAAAGTGATTAATAAGAATTCACTTTTCAAGGGTTGTTAAAGTCCCTAACGATTATTCGGACTGAAAATCAGCGACATACGCAGTGGTGTTGCTGTTGTATAAATCTATCAATTCTATAACCACAAAACAAAAATAACCTTAATAACCTACCTAAATTGTAAAGTGAGTAGTTTTTCTGTGTGTATTTGTTATCATATTTAGTAGTGTAAAGCAATGGAGTCTAGTGATTCATCGAGTGTATATTTGGGAAGCGGTATCTCCAGTTCAAGCGATAGTGAGGACAATATTTTTGTACCTAAAACTAAAAACGAAAATTATGTTGAAAATACTGTACCATCCTACAGTAACCAAGAGTTTTTTTGAACATTCTCGAGTGAGCAAACAATTGCAAATAACTTATCAGAAAAATTTAAAAACTCAACACATTTCTCCCATCAAATGGGTGAATTTGGAAAAATAACAGCTCTGCAATATGTATTGATTTTTCTGTGGTTTGCAGGTGATGGGTTGCTCATATAGAGATGTTTCTGATAGGTTTAACATATAAGTTCCTCGAGGAAAATTATAGTCCGAATGACTTATTTTTTTATCGAATTTGGCTCCTGAAATAATCCAGTGGCCAAATTTGCTGGAAAGAACAAACATTGAAAGATGTTTTAGACAAAATGGTTTTCTAGGAACAATTGGTGCAATTGATGGTTCACATATAAAAATAGATAACCAGTCTGAAGACCCTGATTCATACCTTAACAGGAAACATTTTCACTCCATTCATGTAAGTTCTATTTTTTTTTTTCACAAACATTTGGAAACTTAATGCATAGATGTGCTATGTCAATCATACACCATTTGAGACAAGTTTTTCAATCGACAGTACTTTTTCAATTTAGATGCAATTATACTATTCTAAATAGATTAAAAAAGTAAAAATAAAAGAGCAATTGATCAATGTTTATATATGTCTATTTATAGTAGCAACAAAAATAAGGAAGATTTCTGATTGTGTACATTTCATAAGGGCATGTTGTGTTCTTCACAATATAGCTCTAGAAGACACACTACCTGAAATTTTTGAAAACATACCTGTTGACGATGTTGAAAATGAACCAGAAAATGACGAAAATCTACAGGACAACCACAATGGAATGGCACTTAGAAATAGAATAGCAAATATATTGCTAAAAATTTAATATTAATAAATTTATAAAACAACTTTGTGTGTATCAAAGATATGCTTTAACTTTTTTTATTTTCATCGGTGTAATAAATGTGGTTGTTATGTTTTAATTTTTGTAATACAGATCTTTTTTTAACTTTTCATGTTGCTACTTATACTTACATAGTAACTCTTGTCTAGGATAAATAATTAATTAGGTATTTTATCCTACGAAAATACTTGTTTAGTTTTGTAAAAATTTTATTTTTTTCTGTAAACCATCTGAATAATACTTGATTCTATTTAATCCCAAAATATGTAACAACAGAACAATGAATTCATTTTTTTCGAATCCTGATAAAACTAATGAATATTTTTGAAACATTTAAACGCAGAATGAAAAATTACATTTTTACCGAGGACCGAAAGTCCCTTAGTTAAAAAAAGTTTTTTTGAATGAGATATTTGAAATTAGAAATCATACTAAAGTTTCTCTTTTTTTTTCCACTCCTGTAACTTAATAAAATTAACATTATATAAGTTTTCAAGGACTTTTTGCCTTCAGTAATAATGTAATTTTTCATTTGGCATTTAAATTTTTTAAAAATACTTATTGGTTTTCTCAGGATTAGAAAAAATGAATGCATTTAAAAAGCATTGGCAGGAAAATTTTGCACCTACCCTCTTAGAACAGTTGTTCACATAATAAGGATTTATTTTAACTTTACAAAATCTTAGAAAATACAAAACAACACTACAATATTAATAGTGTGATAACTTAAAAAGTATCAAATTTGAGTTAGCCCTTGAACTCAGCTTAAAAAGATGTACTTAATATAATACAATATTCAGTATTATATTAAGCGAAGTACATGTTTGTAAGCCGAATACAAGAGTTAACTCAAATTTGATTTTGTTCTAGTTGTTATGCTATTGCATAAATTTTGAAAAAAAAAAACAAATCAATTTATTTTGTTCTTTTATGAATATATTAATCCAATCCAATACGATCAGTCCAATGATAATTTTAACTCCAATATGCATGACTATTAGTGCCACTAAACCTATTCCCACCCAGAATACTATTCTAAACCAATCTATGTGGAACAAGCTTGACAGCCATGACCATAGAGACCAAGTGTCTAAAGTCTCAACTGCAACCACCATCCTAGAGACATTCTGGTACTGGATGAACCCATGCAAATCCAGGTTGGCGTCTATCTGTCTAACTGTCTGGTCAGGATCACATAGAGCATAACAACTTAACTTCTCATAAGGTTTCATGGATAGGAAGTGGGCTTCTTTGGTGAAATCTGTATCAGAGCACATGGTTGATACATTCACTGATCCACAAGAAACAATGGAGCTGAATTGAATCTCTGACTTGCAAGAATAATTCAGTGTTGCTCCCCGCAAGCACGAATGACAGCCTCATAAGTTTCAGGCGACAAAACTGTTTCCTGTCATCCTTCACACTGACAAGATCCACCACCCCTGAAATCAAGATTTCTGCCTTTAAAGCCCCAGGATACTCAGCGAAGATGTGTTCCCCTGACTTAGAAAGAGGGAAGTCTCCCGAATCCATGGGCAAGACATTATCAATCAAGGCAAAGTTGTAAGGTTCAGCATGCTTGGAGTCGCAGGAAGTTGTCTCTATTGAATTCCAGCAGGTGCAGATGTCTGTTGCCTTCTCACACTTGAGTAAATCCCTAGCATGATCTATGGTTCTGCACTGGACCTGCCCGAGCACCCCAGATACTTGTTGACCAGGATTCTGAGCATCCACCATAAATACATTAGCATAGTTTATCTTAGTCATAAACTTGTTGCCAAGAATTGGCAAAGTCGTGGAGAATGTGAGGGTTGGCTCAAAGTCCAGACCTTTCCAACTGGTGATGACATCATGTTGCATAGTCACATTGGTCCTGTATTTACCAGTGTCATCAGTCATGTGGGCTTCCAACCACCACTGGAGCCCAGGTTGGACAATCAGAGATTTCCCAGATTGCTCTAGAGGCATTCTTGCCAAACCATCTAACTCCTAGACACCCATCATCCACCCAAAAGCAGCCGCCAACATTACCAGGATTCAAGCCCATGCACATAGATCTCCCAAATTCAATCCCTAAATCCCATTATTGGAATCAGGCAGAAGCAATCTACTGCAGGATCCTGCTTAATCCCACCTAATTGCTCCTTGTCATCATCGAGCTCAATTGTGTCATTCACCTGTTGTCCAAAAGCCATGCACGCCAGTAAAAGCATTATTGCTATGATTACCAGCCAAGGCCTCGCAGGATTTGGTCCTGCCTTAATTGATCCTATTCTAGTCAACCAGGGTGTGACTCGGTAATTCTGCTTTACTTTGTCTTTGCTTCTGGCTTCTTGTCTTGTCTTATCTGTCTTGTCTTTCTTCTATTTCATCCTGCAGCTGTCTCATGTCCTCATCATCACTATCAATATCCAGGATCCTAATTCTGACCATCAATCTCTTTCCAGCTTTCCTACTACGTCTGAAATATAGGCACAAAAAACTGTATAGCGTATAATTATAAAATATTGGTTTTGTAATATTTTCTTTAATAATTATGTAATGTCTACTAAGTGAGTTTATTGTAAAAATATAAATTTGTTTAATTTTGATCAGGTACTAATGGATACGACATACTGTAACCAACGTCATGGCGGCTTACGAGTATATCGAACTCTTAGAAAATGTAGTAAGTTATTATAACTCAAGGTATTCTCATAAAAGTATCTTCTTCTTCAGCCTTCATTTATCCAATGTTGGACATAGGCCTCCTCCAATTGCTTCCACGCTTCCCTATCTTTTGCAATTCTCATCCACTGCTTTCCAGCTACAGCAGTTATATCGTCTATCCATCTCTGTTTAGGTCTTCCCACGCTTCTTTTTGTTTCTCGAGGTCTCCAGAATGTCACTTTATGAGACCAATCTGTTGGTGTCTTGTCTTGATACGTGTGCTACCCATTGCCATCTCAATGTCGCTATTTTTCCCATGATGACGGTTACTTTAGTTCTTCGACGTATTTCGGTGTCAGGAATTTTGTCTCTGAGGCTTATATTTAACATGGCTCTCTCATGTTTAATGAGTCAAAAGTGTGGTTTACGTCATTTTAAATCATAATCCTTATTTTTTTATTTTTATTAATTTCAAATAAAAACAGATACAAGTGTGTGTTTACTTTAAACAAAATGTAGGAAACTAAGCGAATACCATTTAAACAACGTTACAGTTAACATTTTTAGGAATAATTAAAATAAAATAACTAAATAATAAGTTTAAATCTTGGCTTTCTTTTTTTGATTTTCGTTATTGTCTTTGGTGATTAAGTCTTCGTGAGACAGCGTATCATAGAAGTAGTGCACATCTGCATCTAATACAGACTTTAGATCTTAAAGGCCCTTCCATTTCGTTGTGGTTATTTTTAATCTATTCGAATAAAGTTGATCGTAAACCAAATCGTGATTGACGGTGTTCTTTCTCTGAGTTCATATTTTTATCATGGGCCACTTTGTATAATATATCCCCATTTGGTAGGTATTTTAAGCCTCTAAGATCTGTTACCTTCAAATCTCCTTTTGATTTACCTGGACGAATTGAGCTGTAGCGAAAGTTTTCAGGGTCATTGTAGTTCAGAAAAAAAGTGTGGGTGAGATAGAATACTTTCAAAGGTGCAGGATTCTTCCTGGCTTCTGATATTACCGAAATATAGCCTAAGGGTAGGAATATTTGCCGATTTTTTAGTCTTCGTTCAATTAGACTGTGGGTAGAGTCACACTCCATCTGAGTGTGGCCTCTTTCTAGAAATTTTTGCTCAATCTCGACTTCATACTTGGAAGCTAAAACCGATAAACCATTCGCAAGGACGACATTCCTATTCTAATAACCACAGCCGTCCGAGAAATAACATTTTTTTTTTCAAAGGTCAAATATTGTTCTAGATGTTTATTAAACACGTAGTGAATACAAATGAATCAAGGTCTGCCTCAGTTTCATTCCAAACGAAATTCATGCTGCGATGGTTTTCCAAGTTATATACTGTAAAGTTATGTACTTGTAGCTTTTTTATAGTACAAAGAACTAGCCTGTAACACTGGACACAATTTGACTGCCTGCACATCAACGACAAAACAGTAAATTTATTTATGGATGGCTCTGGTTTTATCGGTTTCTTTTTCGACGCGTGCTAGGTCTTTTGCTCTAATGTGGGATGCGTATTGTTCATCTGTAACCTGTTTCATCTTGTAAGATGATCATATGTCACATTGGTCCTTGCGTGGTTTAAACAGTGCTAAATTCATTTCGTCAAATTTTGTAGAGAATTTAAAATTTGATAATGGTACCTCCCTGTCTTTACATTGTTCTTAATAAAGATTATATACTTCAGTTTTCGATTTGAAATTATGTTCCAGGTATAACTTTCCAGTAGACTTGCGGCAATAGTGGCTCTTTATTTTAGGCAACCTGTTCAGAAACTCTCGTAAATTCTGTACTCTCAAAATGTCCTGTTTTGCTTTTGGTGTAGACTCTCTTTTTTCTTTGATCCATTTTTGCATCATGTCACAACTTTCTAGAAATCCATCTTTTTATGCCGCACTTAACCAGTTCTGTACCATCTTTTCTCCTACTATTAGTGTGTTAAGAAATATCAATTTGCAGACTTGTAATTTATCGCCTTTTACTGTCAGAAAGTATTCGTAGGTACCACTTCGCCTGGAAGGTCTATCTACATAACATCTTTTTTTTCTCCTTGTATGTAACCATATGAGCGAAGAACATCCTTTTTTGTTCCCAGGACATTTCCCAAAATTTTAAAAATATTTCTTTTCTTAAGTTTTCTTATATTGTTTAGCAAAAGCGAGTCGGCGCGGTAGCGCAAAACTTCGAGACACAGGCTGGCTTCATTTTACGTTTAGGGCGTAGAATATCATGTTTCACAATGTCTTGTAGCCTTCTATAACCAGTATATTCCCTTCCTAACATTCTTGACTGTTTTGTCTTGTTTTTATCCCAGTTCTCCGGATTCGCAACTTTCGCTTATTCATTAATCGGACTTCTTGATCTTCGATGTTTTCTTTTAGCCTATCACTTTCTAAATCAGTATCTTCAGGTTCTTGTACATTTCTTTGACCGCCCAGTTTTGCGTCATTTGCTTCTTCTGATCCTTTATCTTGTAAGTGTTCATTGTTGATTTCTATCTCGTGTTGTTCGTTGTCTAAATTTTCATTGCTATTTTTTTCTTTTGGATCCTTGATCTTCATTTTTATAATGGGGTTTTTCTTCAAAAACTTCGCCAAGATTTGGGTCCACTCTTTTGTTCTGAGGTACTTTATCTTCCAAATAGTCAGCAAGGAGTTGTTCTTTCAATCTGTGATCGTCTGGTTCAGTTGTGATATTATCGAGTTTGTCTACCGTTATATGAAAGTTCGTGTGATTGGATGTACTATTGAGAACTGGATTTTCAAAAGTTTGATTTAAGTTGGTACATGTGCTTCTGATGTACTAAGCACTTCCAAACTTTTCGCTGATTGTACTAAAGTTATCTCTTCAGTACAACTTCTATGAACTTCGTCCAGATTTGCCGCTACTGGCCTAGCGTTTTCTATTTAATACCATACGTATGTACTACCGTTTATCAATACCGTTTATATTTTACATTATAGTAAAAATGTATAATAATACAGTGTCAGTAATACTGTATTGCCACAAAATTTCTTCCATCAGAAAAATAATATTTATTGTATTTTCATGATTACAGAAAAAATATCTTTTATAGATTGGAACAAGGTAACGGACGTAACCCTCAAAATAAGAATTATACATAACCTGTTCCAATACATCGTAAACCGCACTGGGATCTAAATGAGGTTTTTACTGAAATAAAAAAATATTAACGGTATTCTATTAACATACCCTATATATACATATATTCTATTAACATACAACTCTATATATCTAACGGTATTACGATATGCAGACAATACACTTATTTTAACGTTTGCGTAAAGAAAATCAATGACTTACCTATTTTATAGCTGATTTATAAACTAATTTTAAAGGTCAAACGAATTACTACCAACACGCTTTGCCATTCAAGGTACACTGTGGGATAAGATGAGTTGGAAGTAAACAAACAACGCGAGCGGGTTAGGACTTGTTAGAAATCGCGGGAATGGCCACCTTACTATTTTATTTAGGTTACGAGAATTTAACAGCATATAGGGATGCACGGTTGGTTGCCTTTGACACAAAAATATGAATTTTCAATTTTTTGTGGGTTACGATCTGTCAGCATTAGGCTATCGATATTTTCTTTATGTTGTTGTTTTAATTATTTATTTCTTTCTTCTAACTTTGCTTTTTCTAATTTTAAGTGGGCTTCAACTTATCTTTCTCTAGAGCCAATCTAGCATCATTATATTGCTTATTTTCTCCTCTCTGTCTGTCTAATACATCTACTCGTTTGCTGATTATTAAAAAACTTTTTTTGGCTGATGTTTGAAGAGCAGTAGTAACAGTTTTTTGTGGTGTTACCATTACATCATGAGATGTTGATGGTGTACTTATTACATAATCGTGATCATTTGATGCTACATTGTCAGAAACATGTGTAGATATGTTGTCTTCTTTTAAGTGTACAATTTCTTATTTTGTCCCATTTCTTCGGCAAATTCAAAATCTTTTCTCCCTCTCCCTGTTTTTTGGCGTTGTCTATAAATTTTTGAAAATTATTTTCTTAAACCCTCCAACGGTTGTCGCAATTTGCTGGGGTGCAATTAACATTATTCATTTTTAAGTCAGACGATATAACTTCCCACAACTTTTGAAAATTCTTTATGGCAAAAGTTCTCACATTTTTTCTATAGTTTTTGTATAGATCAATTAATAGCAATGTGTTTCCTCTCCATACAAAACTTGTTTTCGCGTTGGCCGATAGCTGATCACCTTCTTGGAAAGCCAAATACTCTCGTAAGGATTCTAAAAAATTTAAATAAAT